ACAACCAGTCATAGCAGATGGATTTGTGACCAGTGTAAAGGGAAGGGATTAAAGTTGAGTAGATTTTACTGAACAGTTCCAGAAGAAATTTCAGTAATAAACTGCCTGGTATTCTCCCAGCAGAGGAGTCTCTTTCTAGAATTAACTTCCGTGATTCCACAATATATTTTTACTTTGCTGAAATTGTTGGGATGTAGTATTGGTGCCCAATACGTTGTTCATATACAGATAGCACAAAAAGTGGTTACAAGACATAGACAAGCAAATTCAGTAATTCTGGAGACGTTTTGGGGCTTTAAACAACACAGATCAGACTTGTGACAGTGCAGTCAAGACACTTCCTGGACTCTCAATTAACTTTTGTGGTTCTACAGCATATTTTTTCTTTGCTGAAATTACTGGTGCTTTCTTTAGCACCTGCTCTGCTTGTGGAAATATTCTTGCAATATAACTTTACCTTCCTAATTCTTAAACTGCCTGGCAATTATTCTTGTAGTTTATTAGAAACTGTAAAATACAAATGAGGGACAACTGGATGTCTCTTTAGTAAAATTTAGGCCAGAGCTCATTTTACATTCAATCACACTTCAGAGACTGGGTGCAATACATAAACCAGTAAGCTACCATTTTCTGTGTTCAGTATTACACAAAGCAGGAAAAAGAAAAGGTAAAAAATGGGATCAAATAAATGTACCTGTGTTATTTTCTTCTATTAAGTTTAAACCAAAAGAAGGGGGAACAAAGAGAGGGGCTGAAAGAGTCAAAAAATGTACCAAAATATATTAGAAACCTGTAGACCTTTTATGCTCATGCTTTCTTGATACATTTTAGTATTTCACTGTATGTTTTTTGACTGACTGTAATACATTGTACATGTAGGAAAAACGAGTGATATATTCAAATTTGAAGAATGTAAGACCAACTTGCCCTCTTCTACTGTGCATCTCTAGATGAGGCAAGACTGCCTCATCATTCAGGAGGGTGAGACATTGCACCATGAGCTTCTGCCTAAGAGACATCAGATCATCTAAACACAGGTGGATTTCGTACAGAGCTATTGGATACCTCTGTGCTGCACCACTGCACTCTTCCAGGGTCTGAAGGGCTTTATTATAATGGATGAAAGGATATAGATTCATCCTGAAATGAAAGAGAACTTTCTGGAGCAAAATTAATTTTTATTATTGTAATTAGGATTTATTCTGGTGTAGAATACAAGCCTTGCACCTCTTCTGGAACATTTTGGGATGTTTGAAGTGACTTTTTTTTAAAGCTTCTCTTATACTACACAACACTACATATGTGTTTACATTAGGAACAGTTGCTGCAAATATTTGAATGCATGAAATTATTCCTGTGCTTTCAGGGAACCATAGAGAATGCAAGGAGAGAGCTGAGACTTAGCTCTTTAGGCTCTGGGTCATACCTTAGAGCAGATTCATTTATCACCTATGTATGAAATCAGTATAAGTGTAAAACTGGATCAGCATTGTAGGTAATCATAGCCTAGGCCTGTACCTTAATTAAAAGACATTATTCTTCAGTGTTAGAACATGAGAGACTTATTAGAGTATTAATTGATAAATTGTGGGAGGTGGGTTAATTTTCTAGAAGGCCTGTAGAGTTGATGACAAAGGAGACTAAGGGATAGAGGAGCCATTTGTTTAAATAACTGAAGTAATTTTTGATAATTTCTCTGTCGTTTGCTTTTTAAGAGACAATTTAAGGCTGGTGTGTTTATCAGTACCTCACTCTGCTCTGCTCTGCTCAGCAAGATGAGTTCAAAGAAACAAATTCATCTGCCAGTGAAGTCAAGATGTTATTAATAGTGAAAAAGAGATGATGTATGGAGTCACCTGGCATCAGTGAGCCTCTAGCAAACTTCTTTAGTAATAGAAGTTTATCTCCTTCCCCGCTTTGTGTAGAGTGCTGCTGGGAGTACCCTGGTTTGGCAGCTTCATCCAGGGCCTTTTCTCATTATCTTGTTTCTTTCTTTTTTTTTTGCTTTTAAGCCATTTTTTGTCAGGAAGATTTTGTGTCTGCTAGCTTGGGCCTGAGGGAAGAATATTTATGATCTTTTGCTTTTCTTTGATTCATCTTTCATCCTTATTCCTCACCTTCCATACCAAATTGTCTTACTTCTTATTCAGCTAGAAAAGTAACCTGCTAGAACCATTTTTTCATTATGATTCCTCTAAGAACAGTATTTAATGCTACTGTAGGAAGAGAGTAATTTTTGGTTTAAATGCTTTAACTCTGTCTTCACTGTTAAGGTGCAGTTGAATGTTTTGTTTGTTTGTTTGTTTGTTTGATTTATATCACCATAAGGAAAAAAAGAAAGGAAGTGCTATTTAGATTTACAGCATTTGTAGGATTAAATAGGACAAAGAAGATGTATTCACATTCACTGCACTCTTAATATTCAAGTGTATGTGTGTAATAATGTTTTTATCAACCTGACATACTACACTTAGGTGCTATAAATTCAGTATAGTGTTTCCCAATCCATTTGGTTTTGGAGACCTGTAAGGAGGCAGAAGCCATTGGTATTATGGTAGTGACTCCAAGAGCAAAAATGTGCTCTTTTCGTTTGAAATCTACTCTGTCTGTACCGTCAAATGATCAGTTTTAGAGCTGCTTTTTAAAAGCTGTTTATCAACACAGCTGTTAAGCGATTTATACCACATTAATGTACACTCACAATGTATAGGTCTGAAATAATTATTCAATATTTTTCCTTTCATCACATAAAGCACAGGATTCATCTCATATAACTCCAGTCTTCAAAATGAGGTATCTGGAATAGGAATATAGAAGCTATATTCAGTAGGGAGTGAAAGGCACATGTGAAGGGCTTAAATTTCATAAAGTAGAAAGCAGCAGCCGTCTCAAAATTAAATCTTTTAAGAAGGTTAAGATATGGAGGAGTCAATTTCAGCACTCAGGCTTGAAGATTAAATTTAAGGGCATGCAAATCAAAATGCTTCATTGTGGTTCTAGCCAGTATTGAACAGAAGTGTAGGATTAATAGATGGGACAGGGAGGCCAGGTTCTTCCATTGTTTTAAATAACTCACCTAAGGTACTGGTGGTAGTCTAATGCTTAGTGGAATTTTCTGTTTTACTGGTGGAATGAAATGCAGAAATATGATCATCAGCATCTGACCTAGTTAACTGAAGAGTCACCTAACTGGTCATTCAGTGTGGAAAATGTAGAAAAATCTTCTTGGAATTTTTATGTCTGGCACTTGAATAGATAAGAACTGTTCATATATCTTTCCATATCAAAGGAAAATGGTTAAAGATAACAGAGAAGAATTAATGGCTTGTAATCTAAGGCCCCAAAATATACCTATCTAAATTTAGACAATGACTTCTTGTCTGATATTCTTCTGAAATATGCTGAGTATAGAATACTATTTTCTCAAATGTTTATCGTAAATATATTCAGACTGTGTTTTGCATTTGTGACTTTAAGTCTTCTGTACCTAATTCATTACTGCCAGGGAAGAAGTTGACTATACACAAGATGTATTTGTGTATTTGCTTTCATTTATGGTTGACTGAAATTCAATATGTTACTTATATACAAATAGCACAAAAAGTGGTTGGACATAGATAAGCAAATTCAGTAATTCCGAAGATATCTTCTGGACTTATATAATACATGGCAGGCTTGTGACACTTATTCTAGTCAAGACATTTACTGGACTCTCAACTGACACTTGCCCTGATAAAAATTTGCAGATTATAGAGCCACAACCCTAGCACAATTAAAGAAATATTGTGGCATTGTTTCTGTATTTATTTATTTATTTATCTACTTAATTAAGGCTATGATTTTATCAAACATTGTCTAAGAACATTTTTAACTTCTATTGGTTCAGGCCAGTCTGAAAATATCTGTCAGAAGTTGTGTATAAATTCCAAACCTAGTTTTTTAGAGTAATAATTTATCCCTAAAAAACCCTAACCAGCCATGCAAGTGGAAAACCTTCATACATGATATGTTGTTCTCCTTGAGTTAGATAACTATGTCCAGTAGAAACTGGATTAGCCCCCATATGTCCTAGTGGAGGTATGAAAAGACAAGCATGTGTCTTTTCAAGGAAATTATTCTGTTATGAAATTATACATAGCTGTAAGTTTGACTTGAGCATTTATCTTCATTTCAGGTTACTGTGGGCTTCTAATAACTTTTTCTTTTTGAAGCAACAGTAAGGTGCTTGTGCAACAGTTTCTCTGAGAGATATTTGGTGTATGTTATGGTAACACATGAAGCCTGCTTAGGGTAATAAGGTATTACAGTCATAAGAATTCTTGTTCTGCATCTTGTAAAAGAAAATAAAGCATTAAAGGGTTTAAATAATTTTTTTTGAAAAAATTACTTGTTGTTATCAGGGAATTTCTTGAATCTGCTAAAGGCTGTTTTGAGATTTATGGCTATTACTGAAATTTTGGGGAAAAACCCTGAAACACAGTGCCTGAACATTTCTCAGTACAAAGTCAAAAGATGCTTGCAGTTTGGTAAGAAATGCTGACCAAACTGACTTCTCAGGAATGTGATTCCAGGAGTGCATCTTCCATAGCGTTTTGACTGGAGCCAGGAGTGCAGAATTTAATCTGCTTTTCATACTTTCATTTACATCAGGAAGTGATTTTGGTCCACATCAACTGGATGTCAGGACCTCAGATTTCACTGTTCAGATTTGCCCCTACTGGTCCTCAGCGCTTTGTCATGCTAAAGACAATGTGGCCTTTAGTAGTCCTGCTGCACTGAAGGTCAGATGTACTGGGCTTCAAATAAAGAGTCACTTAGCTAGAGAAGGGACCCAGCATCCTTCTTCATATTAGAAATGACAACTTACCTAGAATAAAAGAAATTCCTTAATCTATAGCAGTAATTCTCTTTTAGTGTTTAACACTTTGATAAATACAGTAACTGGATTAATGGCTACTGTTCACGAGATACTTTACTTTTCTATTTTTCTTGTTTGATAGGTGATATATGCCTTGAACACTAAGAATGATGAACATGAGGACAGTATACAGGCTCTGAGAGAGGCTCATGAGAAAGAAATTCAGAATATTCTTGCTGAGACAAGAGAAACAATTCTTCAGTGTAAAAGCAAAGTTGAAGAAGAACAATTACTGAGAAAGCATATTCAGGCCCTTGAAATTGCTGTAGCACAACACAAGAGATTGAAGGAAGAAGCCTTAGCAGAGTTAGTATTGTGTAAAAAGCAAGCAGAAGAGAAGGAGTCAAGAACAGAAGTGAAACAAGCACAGGTAGGCCTTTCTACAGACATAGTACATACCAATGCAGACTTTGAAAACAAACTTCTACATTTAAATCAGGAGTTTGATGGACTGCTAAAAAATCTAGATAAAGAAGTAAATTTAGATGAAAAATGTAGTGTGGAAAGACACACTGTAATAAATGAGATGGAAAACCTGAAGAGCAAGAACCAGAAAACAACTGAAGAGTATATTCAGAAAACAAGAAAACTGCAAGCCCCTTGTGAGATGGGAAAAGAGACTTTGAAAAAAGCCATGCAGCAATCTGTGATAGAAACAAACTGTCCACAAAGAGAAACAGAGCAAAATAAGAGCTCAGAGTCTGAAAAAGGTTTATTGCTGCAGCAGGTAAAGAAGCTGGAAGCAGACCTAGAGGAGAAAAGTCAGAAGATAAATGAGAGGAAGAAGCATTCCCAGAAGCTGAAGGAGCAAATACAGGTAGAGTATGAGACTGTAATCCCTAGCTCTGCGTGAGAAAGTGAAAATTATCAGTTCTTTAAAATTTGTGAGAGGAGGGTCTTTTAAATATCATGTTGATTCAAATGCTTTTTAAGTAGTAAAGCAGTTTTGGAGGCTTAGAATTTAAATAGGAGTGATATAACGCTGACAGCTTCAAAGAAAGAGTTAAGATGATTAGTAACTCATTAGGAAAACACTTTGAACACTAGACTTCATATTGCTTGACAGAGGAGTGAAGTAAAATTTGTAAAAAAGTAAAAATCAAAATATCTGCCGGTTGAAAAGAATTTTACCTTTCCTGCCCAGAAATGTGACGAGAACAGCAAGCAGGCAATACTGCTACCAATGAGTGTTTACAGAGTACATTCTTCCTTTAACGTGTGGTTGCCAATAGCTCAGTGCATGGGTATGAAGAGGGTTAGATAAGAGACCTGAGCTGCCAGTTTAGGAATCAAGTTCTTTATATGACTCTTGCAGCAGTGGCTTGTACCAAGTGCCATTTAATGAAGTGTCCTTTACACTTGTGAAGTTTTATGTGCTGAGCCATGAGACTTCTGCTGTTGGTTCTCAGCTTGCACTTTGCTTCCCCACCCTCACTGCTGCATATCTCATACAGCTCTGCAGATCTGCAGCACAGCTCTGCAGATCCTTCCTGGTTGTATCATGTGTCAGATGCAGTTTCAGAAGTTGGCATGTCATGGAAAATCTGCCAAACATCAGCTTTTGGTAAATAAGGTAAGAGTGCAGGAGAGATACTGATGCAGTGCTGGAATTGAAGCACCCAGACATGCTCTGTGCTCAACAGTTCAACTTCCTTCTGATACTTTTGATCCTTTACATCACATGAACCACCCTACCAGACATGCCCCCAGCCTTATGACAGCAATCTTGAATATTAGATAAGAAAACACCTTGAAGGTCTAGTCTTGGACTATTACAGAATAACAAAAATTGTTTCCTAATGGGAAAGAAGATTTTCTTCTGTTAGAAGAAGAGAGCCACAGAATTCTACAGGGAGCAGGGTCAATGCAGTCAGCTGTGTACTTCCAAGTCAGCTCTTAACTGTTTTCACCATCTGCCCTCACATCTTGCTTGCCACTATTGTTTTGCTGATGATGCAGAGTTCTGAGCTACTTCTTTGAGGGTGTTCTTAGAGGGATTTCAACCTTCAATACAGTAACTACCTCTTTGTTTTACAAGACCAGAGGATGAATTGAATATGCCTTCCCCAACATTATTCAGATTTCATTGTCTCAGTGTGAAGATCTGTACCAGAACAACTTCTATCTTTTTCAGAAACGTGGAGAGGATGCAATGAATGGCAGAGATGCAGATAAGCCCTTTTCTAAAATTGAGTCATTCTATAATATCTATTTCAATACTAAAAAGTATCCTGGCTCTGTAGTAGTTGGAAGCATTAGAGAGGAATAAAGGAAGATTTTGATTTTTTTGTGGGTACTTTAAATGAAAATTTATGCACATGGTTTGTTCTTCCGATTTATTGTGTAAGAAATGCAGTAATATAGGAATAAATAATGTAAAATATGATGGGAAGTGGAAGTAAGAGGCTGGTGGCAACTTGTTCTCTAAATTCTATATCAGCTGCATAAAACTGAAATATTTTCTGAAGGGCATATACTCAACTCATCCATTTCAAATCCTCTAAGTCTGTGGAATGAGGCTGATTTACATACCACTGGAGCATATTGCCTTGAATCTTTGAAGAGATACCCTCAGACTAGGATAAACCATTATTAAATACATTTTTTTCAGACTTCTATGGACAATGTCAGACAGGGAAATAGAAACATCTTTTCAATCAGAAATACCTTTGAGAATTAGTAAATACTAGCAGGAAAAGCTATTATAAGTCTTGAAAGGTGAAAAGACTGTTGCTTCAATGAGATGAATTTTCCTGTTTTCTTCTTAGCATATGCCAAGAGATTTGAGACCTTTAGATGAAAGGCATTACATTAGTACATATTTATTTTTATTATTATTATTATTACTGTAGAAGGGAAAATGCAAAGGTTGACAAATAATTAAGCCTGATCCTTTCAATCTAGTTTTGGAAGAATACTGGCATATATGCCAGAGGTAAAACTAGCAAGATTACCTTGAAGTTTTGAGCTACAGAGAATGTTAAATACAAGGTAGTTTTAACCCTGAGGTTTTACTTGCCGTTCATATAGGAAAAAAATGGCAATTTTATCTGAGTATTGCAGTATTATGCTAGACATCTGAAACTGCAACTAGAACCTCCAGAAAAAACATTAAATATGGTTCAATTTTTTTACGTTAATTATGAAAAGAAAACTCCCACCAAAGTCTGTAGGACCCAATTTTTTCTGAGTTTAGGCATCTATATAATGGATTATGTTACAAACTGTTGTATTTCAGCAACTGAAAAAAACCCTAATTAATATTCATTAACTTTTGCAGTAAATTGTCATGAAATTTTTAGAAGTATAACCTATTTCAAGTTTAGATGGTAACTACTGATGGATATTCCCTTTACAATGATGCTAACTATATGTGAGGGGAGGGCTCCACATCACAAATATTCTGGCAGTAGAGACAGTTTAAGGGAAGGAAAGGACAAAAAATTAATTTAAACTATCTCTGAAGGTGATTTATGTCATGGAACACCAAGAGAGAAAATGACCATTTATTTCTTATTACAACAAAATTACATATGTAATAAACATGAAAGTAATGTCATGCATATTTTAGGATTTGGAAGTGTAGCTTAAGCGAACACAGCAAGAAATTCTGGGATCAAAATGTATAGTGAAAAAAAGAGGAAGAAGATATAAGTGTAGTCAAAGAGAGAAATTCACATCACGAAAAAGAAATCCTGTATAAAGCAGGTAAGATGCTCATTAATGTCATTCTACAGTATTTCCCATGCTAGTAGTCACTGGTATTGGAAATTCTGCAAGTTATTTATGCTACTTGAAATGTAAATTTTGGTACCACAGAAGATAGGGAAACGATATTAAATTCCCAAAGCAAAGCTGTTAATAAAGTAGATGAACTGAAACATCAAATAACCCAGCTGCAGCAAATGACTTGTACCAAAGAAAGTCAGAAAAAGAGAAACTTTGAAGATGTGCAAGAGCTTTAACAGGTGATTTGCTCTCAAATATTCAAAGATATGGCATACCAAAAGTACTGAAATCAATGTAGGTTTTTTTAATATTGATGGCTCTATTGTAAAGGAACCAATCCTGTAAGATTACCAGATCTCTGAGCTCATTCAATGGAACACTGACTTATGTTCATTACCTGAAGTGCATGAGTTTCTGCAGACAGCAAAGGAGCTACAGACATCCTTGGGCTAGACTGGGGCATAGTGTTCAACTGCTTCTGTAACCAAAACCTTAAAGAGAACAATGTCTAAGGTGGGCTTTCTCTGCTGAGGTCAAGATGGAATTCTGATTTTTTTTTTATTTTTAATTATAGAAAATAGTTATTCTGAAAATCTGTGCAGAAATGATAGCAGGAATAAAATCAGTTAAATGAGGAATGTGTGTACCCTGAGAGTACCCTCTGTACAATATATCCTATTAAGCAACTGTTTGGTCCTGAATCTTTTTTAAACTTTTTAGTTCTCTTAAACTATTGTTAAGCTGCCATTCAGGAAAATTAGACTTGGCATCAGCATCAGCAAATAGTAAACTGTACTTTTTCACAGCACTAAGGTTGTCCTTGAGGTAGCCTGTGTGGTTGGAAGAGAGTTACATGTCCAAGCTCTAATCAGAACAGCAAAAAAACCCAAATCTTTCCTAGACTGCAGGAGAGGCTGCATCCTGAATCAGTACTGTTCTACATTTTTAACTAAAATGAAGCCAATATTTTTCAGCAGGGTATTACCACCTTAAACAGCATTTTCACTACAAAATAGACTACTGTGACTCCTGAGTTCTACACTAGGGTTTTTTTGTACAATGTATCTAGTGTGTTTCATAGACTATGGAAACTGTAGCTGTTTACAAGGAGGGTATGAAAAAAAGTGAGAACTTTAAAAATCAGTCCTATAAGGAAAAGATTAGTCTGAAGGAATAGCTGTTAAAATGAATGGTAAATCATGTAATGAATGATACAAAAGAAATCAGGCCAGTCTAAAACTTCATGGAATCTGGAGAGAGGGGAAAGAAAAAAAAAAAAAAAAAAAAAAAAAAAGCAGAAGGTAAGAATGTTCTTCTATTTATGGATGCTTTAATTCATCTGGTTTTAATCATATTGGTCACAGCAACATCATTTGAATTATGTTCACTGTAGGCACTTTGAATTAACATAAAATGCCAGGATTTTCTCGCTACAGAAAAAAATCAGAAAAAGAAAAGAAAGGTCAGACTGATGTATTTCCGTAAAAATCTTCAAAGACAGGAAAGTCAATTTATCATTGATATAATAAATGGCCTCCTAAGCAATACTTATCCTTGTATGCTTTGCATGTGGCAGTTGGAATGTTTTACACAAGTTCCTTCCTGAAGAAGAATGTATTGTGGGTGTTATTCCAATTTCTGATTTAAATTTTCATGGATTGCTGCTGTGAAATACTCCAATAAATTGATTTAATCAGAATTTTTCATTTTTAGGCAGAGGATCTATTTCCGCAAAGTGTTGGTAAATTAATTCAGACTGTATGTGTTACCGATGAAGTTACAACTATTTACAAATACATCCATCCATCCATATATATATGTCCATATTTAGCTTTAGTCAGAAAGAAGGCTCATCTTTTTGTAGATCCAAACCACTTACCTGAGCAAAACCTTTTCTCCAGTGTGTTTTAAGTGGTTAAGCTGTTATTTTTGTTGTTGATATACAGTAGCAGCTGAAGAGAAAGCTTCAAAAAAATTTCATTTTCATCAGAGCTGCTGTCTGTGACTGAATCCTTTGGCTTTAGGAAATTTACAGTCTCTAATGTTTCTGTACAGTGGGAACCTAAATGTGAGCTGAATTCTATTCAAAGGGAAGATAACCTTGAAACACGTGTTTAGTTCTAAGTATGTGCCTTAATGATTAGTGGAGCTCACAAGTCAGTGCATGTCTAAGTGATTTGCCAAATTTGAGCAAAGGGGGAAGTTAGTTTCTGACTCCTAATGGACTTTGGTGTTTGTCAAATATCATTTAGACAGAAAAAGAAGATTAATTTAAGTTTCAGATTTAATTTCAGCAGTTTGTAGAATGGAACAGACTACTGGCCAAGTGGTTTTTAGACCCTTCTTGGTGCTAATAATGAATGTTACCCCATTTTCTGCAGTTAACACTCCTATAGCTTTCTGAGTTCAACATTTACTTGAGAATAATCAAACACTTGCTGACAAGTTGTAAAGTCATAAAAAGCAAGCAGCTGCTGTCCCTAAATGTTGAGCTTCATAGTACCTGCCAATCTTGGAGACTAGGAATTGTATTTAGTGCTTGCCTAGATAATTAATTTCAATTAAACTACTGGAGTTTATACATTTATATAATCTTATATAATTATATCATAATTAATAATAATATAATAAATTAATATAATTTATACAGCTCTCAAAATTGAATCCAGGTGAGTAAATTATTTTATCTGCTTGTGGAATGGCTCCGTTTTGATCAGTATCTGAAGGTGCAGTGCTTCGAGGGACATAGTTACACTAGTGAAACCTTACAGAAATTGCCTTTTATATAGTATATTCTACTTATTATTAGCTTATACATGTATTCTTAAAATTATGCCAGGTGGAAGCTCTTCATGTGAGTCAGATTGAAATTAAGTGTCAAACACTTCCTACTTTAAAAAAAAAGGCATACTAGTAGACATTTTATGGGCAATAAATATTATTGCTTATAATAATGATATCTTCTTAGAGATTCATATTAATTTAATCAGAAAAATATTGAGTTAGTAAAACAAAATTACAATTTTTTTTCATTATTGATGCTGCATATATCCTCTTATTCAACTAAGGCCTACAAGAGCTGCTAAGGAGGTATTATATCTCTTTTTCCAGATAGAAAAATTAAGATACTGAAAAGAAAGTCAGTTGACAGAGTTGAACTGGGAATATTGCACCTGATCTTCATGTTTCAATCAAAAGACAGTTATATCTGCTCCTTTTTGCACAGGCAAAACTAAAGCTAATTCCTCCCTTGCAATATTCAAGTATCTGTTTAATTTCATCCTTTAATTGCTACCTAAGTTTTACACAGGCGTGTATGAGAAGCTGTACAGGATGGGGGAGGTGTCAAATAGTTATTTTTTTCTGTTTCCTTCATTTGTAGCATCTGAAGATACTGTAGAATGTTTTTTGAGTTATCAAATTTGTATAAATAGGAAGAATAAACACACTAATAAACTTGTAATGCATATCACTTCAGGAAGTTTCTAGAAGTTGTACATTCAGTCTTTCTGCAACAAGTAATTGCTAATACCTGCTACAAACAATTGCTACAAGCTCTTGGTCACTGCCTTGCAATTGATGCTCTCATTGATTTTTTTAACTATTTCCAGCAACATGGCAATTTTATAATTCTCATTTTTTATTATTATTTTATTTTACTTTTATTTCCTCACCATGATTTTCTTTATGGATGCTGTCAGATATTGCTTCATTTGATTCTCTTTTCCACTAACTGCCCATTATTTATCTTGTTATTTATATGACCAATGTATATTTATGGTTTTTCAGATCTTGTGGGTGACCCTTGCATACTAAATTATTTTTGAACATTAACACTACTCAAGGCAAAACAGTCTGATTCTTCATGCTGTAAAGTTTTACACCTTAGAGAAGCTTTCAGCAGAAGGCTAGGATAATGTGAACTGTATTATCTCACACTAATATTAGAAAGAACCAAACCAAAGTGTTTATACATTTTAAATTAAATAACATGAGTGATGTTAAATGACAGTAGTATGCACTATTGTGTACACTGCTGTATTATCTGGATTCATGTAGAAGAAATGTGTTCTTTTTCATACTGCATGTTTTGTCCCATTTATTGCATGCTCTTGTCTTTTTTTTTTTTTTATTTTTTTTAATTTTAGGAGCTCCAGACACAACTAGATGAATTTAAAAGAAAATCTGAGTGTGAACTAAAGGAACTAGAGAAAGAGAAAGAAGTTCTAACTGGGAAACTTCAAAACTCTTCACTTGAGGTAAACTGGACATAAATGTAATGCAGTAATAAAAAGTCTCTTAATTTTTCATCCTATCTGAGAGATTCTGAATTAGATTTTAACACTATTTGTTGTGTCTATCACTCAATAAAACATACTAGGACTCCAGATAGAAATAACAGAAATAATTGCTACTAAATATCTATGAAGATTTTGACAAGCCTATTTATTTTATATATTACTCTTTGGAGATGTGCTAACATGAGGAGTTTGGCTATATCAGGATCGCAGAGCAACTCTGATTCTTTGTTTGTTTACAGGACAAAGTGAGATTAGAATTTTCCTTACAACTCTTGTTAACTTTCTGATTTTTTTTTTTAATGCATAGAGATGTACCTTCACTGATTCTAACCCATTTCACTTCCATCAAGTTCAGGGGCAGTTTGCATGGCAACAACTCTGCAAAAGCTGAAGACCTAGATCTCCTTCAGCTGACATTTGTAGACTCTCAGTGGCCATAATAAAATCTTGTTGAGTGTTTAAAGACAGAGAAAGGACAGGGTCATCAGGAGGCTAAGCAAAAACATTGTCTTCCCCTTCCCACATGCCATGTTTATCCCTTGGTGTGCACGTTCCAGCAATCACGGCATGTGTTGTGCTCATTTACGATAAGCAACGCCTGGTTTTCTCCCATCTGTGCTATACTAGCTGTACTAGTTATGAGTGCAGCATGGGTTTTTCTTCTTCATTTCTCCTCTAAAACATATTTATACATTCTGTTATCAAACAGTGACATTCTGATGTCCTATCATTTCCCAGTCTTACAAATACAGAATTTAAGTGTAATTTAATGTTCGGAAATTTCTGGCTATTTTTAAGTTTCATTACACATTTCTGCATGCCACTGTTTCCTACAGATTCTTCTCTGAGTGAATTTTGGGTCAATCTAACCTATGTTGGCCTATTCAGAGTGAAAGATTTGTGACATGAAGGTTTATTCCTCAGGTTTTGCAGATGCAAAATATAAGGTCATGGGTCATCAAATTACTTTCCTTGAAATCACATATTTAGGACAGTAAAATATGAAAGAAATTTATATTTTCTAGCTGCTCATCCACTCAAATCACAAGATCATGGTAAATTAGCAAGGAGTGGTGGAAAATTATTGCCACTATAAACATAAATATAAATAATATCAAATAATACATAGCATGCCATATGTTATGTTCACAGAACCATGGTAATTTTAAACAGATATATCAAGAAAACATTTTATTGTATCTTAGAATCTGACTGCTCTCAAAAAGGAGGAAATGCTCCATTTGAAGAGAAATTTTGCAATTTTCTTGATTTTTCCAAAAGTTACTTTCTGAACTAATTACTTGGCAGTATTTCCAGGGTAGTGAAGTCATTTCAACTTGTACCAGTTTCCTGCTATAGGTACATGTATATTCATAGCCAAGAAAACACCATTTACTATAAAATGTTATATTTCACTGAGGGCATGTTTCCCATCTGGCAACCTTTGCAATGGCTCAGCCCAGAGCTTCCGCCTCAAAAGTTAGGTAATGTGCTGTTACTAATCCAGTTCTAACCTGGATAAAATTTCAGATCTAAAAATAGCTTCCTTGGCTGCCTAAGACCCGTTTTTGGTTGGGCTGACATAGCTGGAGCACTATGCAGAGTAGACAGAAACATGAAAATTTCATCTCTCTGGGGTTGCACTTCAAAGTGGCAGTATTTCTGTATTAATAAGGTTTTTATGGATAAAGAAATGAGACTTGCATCTTTTTGGTCATTTGGAAGGAAGGATGTGAGATCCTGTGTGGATTGAATGCTAATTCATTGGGGCCCTTCAGTTCCTTGAACTACAAGATCTCTTCAGCATGTGTTAAATGATTTTGGTGGCAGAGTATAAGAAAAATATGAAGCTATTAGAAAGTGTCCAAAGGATGGCTACAGAGATAGTGAAGGGTCTTGAGGGGAAGCCATATGAGGAGCAGCTGAGGTCACACTTGGTCTGTTCAGCCTGGAGAAGACTAAAGAGAGACTTCACTGCAGTCCAGAACTTGCTTGTGAGGGGAAGTGGAAGGGCAGGCACTGCTCTCTTCTCCCTGGTGGCCAGTGACAAGACCCAGGGGAATGGCCTGAAGTTGTGTCAGGGGATGTTTAGGTTGGATATTAGAAATAGGTTTTTCTCCTAGAGGGTGGTTGGGCACTGGAACAGGCTCTCCAGGGCAGTGGTCACAGCATCAAACCCGACAGAATTCAAGGAGCGTTTAGCCAATGCTCTCAGGCCCATGGTGTGACTTCTAGGGATGGTGCTGTGCAGGGCTAGGAGCTGGACTTCTATGATCCTTGTGGACCCCTTCCAACTCAGAATATTCTATGATTCTGTTCTATTCTGGAATTAAAAGACACGTAAAATGGAAGTGCAAACATCAGCTTGTCCTGATACATCTTTGAGCAATGCTAGCACAGCCATGCCCAGAGTTTTTATGGATCTTGAAGAGTCAGTCAAAGAATGCAGCCAGGAATTCCTCTGGTCAGGAATTGCTACAAATTTAGGAATATTGTTTACTGTGAACTTAATTGAAGTAACTCTGAAATAAGCCTAAAAAGCAGTAAAATACAATTGCTTTTGCTTTTACTTTTTATGCCATATTACTGTTTATGTTATGTTAGGTAATGTTTGCATCTCTGAGATCGCTTTAAGCAATTCTGGTGGATAAAAGTGAATTAGTAATGGAATTAAAGTACAATTTTTTCAAAAACTTTCGTTTTTCAGCAGGAGGACATTATAAAACAAAACCTCACCGTGTTGCTCCTTTGTTATTAATGAAAACATCCTAAATAGATTCTGGAGTGAAGTGAGTTGGCATAGTTTTATTGGCTTAAATGCTGCTTTAGCAACTTAAGCAAATTGAGGATCTGGCTATCTGTTTAGAAGTCAGGAAGCACACCAAAAAAAATGCTTGGGCACTGCAAAACATTCCAGAGAAGGATTTTCACTGAAGGATTTGAAAACTTTTTAAATTGTAAGACAGGAGAAGGAAACCTGATAGGATGGAAATGTTTGTTTCTTAACCACTAATAATGCTAGAAGTGCCAGGATTCATGAGAAATAATGTGTTTGTATGTCTGATACATTTCAGTAGGGATTTTCCCTATAATCACTGAAAAATAATGGTTTTAAAACTACTTCTCCATCTGATTTCCAGCTACACTGTGTTCCCAGCTTAGCCTATTTCTAGTTAGTATGATCTTTTGTTTCATGTTAGAAGTGCTTTGTGCCAATAATTGTCTGTGAAGAGTTGGGGAAGTTTATGTTGTGACCACAGGTAAGTTTATATTGGTCTCTTTTCATCTTTCCTGCCTAGATGCTAATTTGCTTAAAAAGTATTCTAAGTAGCATTTTTCCTGTTTCAAATTTGTCTGTTATAAAATATATAGCCTATTGTTCTGGCACATTTTTTCAGTCCCTTTATTTTCCCATAAAAAAAATGCATGCTGGAGTGTAGTGATGCTAATGCATACTGTGTCAGCTGGATGAGCTATAGCAGGAGGGACTATACAGCATTAAGTCTTTCACTTCAAAGGTTAGCTTTATAAGGAACTGCTGTACCTAAAAACTTCAGTGTTTTCTTTCTTTTATATATATATGTATATATGTATATGTGTATGTATATGTATATGTATATGTATATGTATATATGTATATATAATTTATATATATTTTTATATAGGAAAACATTGGCTTGAGTTCAATAGGTATGAATACAAAGTAGTTTTTTTGCCTGTAACCAGAAACTAAAGTGCTCCTTTGATTAAATCTTATGATTTACCACATATTTCTTTAAATAAAGTAATAAAAAAATTTCATCCCTTGAAACAAATCTATGGTTGGCAAGTGGCTCTGGCATCTGCCTATTCTTGAAATGTATCCAGGCCACAGACAGATCCCATTACACAGATATATTAAATGAAATTAATGTTTTTCATTACAAATAGTATTTGGCAATTATTCTTCACTAGCTTGATCACGCAAATATTTTTGTGTGTGTTTCATTGGATGACAAAACAGAAGAAGTCAAGAAATAACTGGATGAATAGTGACCTTAAACTCAGGGTGAGGCAGATTAAGCTAGGTGCTCTTTCAAATTAAATATATCAGTTTTGTTGGATAGCTTCAGCAGAGCCTTAGGCCTGCCTTCTGGTTCGTGCCATATTACTGTGAAAATTGAACTATGGATTGCATGTATGAGATGGATACAATTTGAAATTTTTAAAAAGTACTTGATGAGCAACAGACAGAATATGCAAAAAGGTTGTCATTCTTCACTGAAAAAAGGGCTCTTTGCACAAAACAAGCATCTTGCTATTTTTTCATAGAGCAACACAAGCCCATAAAATATACTCAATTTTACATAATTCCTCCTCATTGTGAATGCAGCCATTAATCCTATCCTGCTGACTTGCTTTTCTGGAAGGTGGCTCAGCTGAAGCAAATATTAGAACAACAAGCAAATCATTTCAAGGAGTCACTGAAGAAACATAATCTACAGTCCAACAAAGAAAAAGAGAAGCTTTTGCAGGATCTTCACAACACCATCAAAGAAAACCAAAATGTTAAACTGCAGTTGGAGGCATCACATCAAAAAGTCTTAAAAATGTTGGAGAAAAGCAAGAATCAGGAACTCAAGGTCAGTTTACTACATACCAATGTAAAAAATATACATATATTTATGGAGTATGCCATGTAAGTGAGAGCCAATTATTAAAACCTTATTACCTGCAATTAGTTTAATGATGGTTTGCTGTTGTCACACATAATGAATTATTCTGTGATTTTGAAACCTCATCATCAGGCTGGGAGGGGTGAGTTGGTTAATGGTTTGTGGGATTTTTGTTTTGTTTTTTTATAATTTTAACATTTTAACTTAGACCACAGTGTGAATATAATGTACCCTATAGTTAGGCTGCAATGAATATAAGCTTCTTTATTTGTCCACCTGCTTCAGAAATACAAGGGAATTCCTGAGTGTATTAATAACAAGACTCAGTTTTATTATTTTTCATCCATTATTAATTTATACATAAATACTTAAGAAGTATAATAAGACACATACTGTGATTTGAATTGCCTTATATACCTTCAAGAAATCAATTCAGTTAGTGGATAACCAAAGCTCTTAAAGGGTCAAGTGAATTGATTTCAGTGGCAAAATGCTAATGCAATATACTGAAGTTCTAAAGACTGTTGCTGTCCAAGAAAAAAATCAACTTGAAAAATGTACATGTGATTGTGACACGGAGTTCAGATGTTCCTGTTGGTTCCCACAGCTTAGAGAACTTTATGAAACATAAGTAATAAAACCACCCTAAGTAGAATTTAATATCTTGTTTATATATTCCAACTAAAATTCCAGTTTTGACAAAACCAAGCTGAAGGCAGTGAGTTCGTAAGAATGAAACTGAGGACAAGAGTTTGCTTTCAGAGCCACTACAGAGCAACTGCTCCATCATTTGCAGTGTACCAGCATTACTTCTAATGACAGTGGAAGAGTGACCCACAAATGATTCAAGGACAGATACATGACTTTGTCTGACATACTGTGATAAGTAATGACAAACAGGTCAAATCTAAGGGCCTTTGTATGTTGAATAATAAGACTTTTTTTTCTAATGTCAAATAGTGCAAAGATATTTGTGTTATTATTTCATCATGTATAACAAATCCAAGAGGTGATAAACTGATAATTTATCTTGAACCTATTAAGTGTTAATTTTTAACTTCATTTTCATGCTTGCATTGGTAAAATGTCTTCTAAAGTGGTGATGAAAATTATAGTTCTACAATGAAAGGCCAGATTGATCCTAGTATTGCAAGTAAAACAACAAGCTGATAAATAGGCTCCAACTGCTTTGTTTTCGGGGGGACTTTTGCTTACAGGAGGCAGAAGAACGTTTGAAAAAGGAATTTAATGAGACTTTCAAGATTCAACACCAGTCTCATAGGCTGGAAATACAAACCTTGGAAGAGAAAGCAAAGAAAGAATTACATGATGAACTTGAGCAGATACAGAAGCAACAATCCCTGTTGCTAGGTACAGTGTCTCATGTCATGTACAGTTCCTTTTGCTTTATGCTGAGAACCACTGACTTTCATCCCATTCATTTTGTTTCCCATCTTCTGGGAACTCAGGTCTTTGTTAATCTCCTTTTTCATACCCTGCAATTTCAACAAAATAGACTTAATATTGTTTGTTAACCAAGCCCTCAATTGTCAGCAGCAAAATGTTGCTGAGAGAGTAGCCTGATGTACAACATTCCAGTATGTATTATTGAGTATATTAGATTGGAAAATTATAGTTAGTTTATATGACTTAATTCTTTTCTTCCATGAATTATTATATGTGCTTCAAGTCTGTTCTGTTGAGTTCAGCAGTGGAGATCACTTGCTCCCTATGTACTCTTCAGTCAGTTTAAAAAGTGCTCTATACTGGTTAGAGCTAAACAGAACACTGCACTAGGAAGATGTGTAGTATCTCCAGGTTTTATCTCAGGTTATTAAAGCTCATCTATAAAATACTATTTTATTAAAGCTCATCTATAAAATACTAATTTTTTTATTAAATTAAGAATAATTTGAAAGTATTTTACATACAAACTGAATTTTATTCTTGGGTTTTTTACACCAGTAATTAAAATTTGCTGAAGAGTTTTCTTGCTCTCTAAAGTTTATATGTGCAATAGATTCTCTTCTTCAAGAAAAATTGTAGGGAGACAACAGAGTAAAAAACTTTTTTCTTCTTGAACTTGAAAAACTTGAACCTAATATACACAAAAGTTGCAGGATATGACAGATGAGCTTGCATAAGCATTGTACTTCTCTAACACAGCAACCAGAGCTCTCCTCAGTCTGCCTTATGGCCCTCTATAACAGACAAGTGGAATCACCAGAGAAGCTGAGGGGTGCTCTAGTAAAGTTCAAGGAGGAAACAATTGTCATGATGGAGATACATCTGCAATACCACTGCCACAGAATTACCTTGCTGACTCTGATGTTGACTCATTGCTTTTGTAGCTCCATATTATCTTACTATTGCTCAGTTATCTCTCTAGTAATAGGAGTTCATTATGCTTAATGGGGAAGGAGTTGAGGAACAAAGCAAAATGTAATTAATGTTTTCATCTACATTCCTTGTACCTGCCTTCCCCATCCAGCTGGCCTCTGACTCCCTAAATGATTGTCTGTCTGTTACTAGGATCTCTAAGGATGGAACTCTCTGAGCAACAGACATCATGCACTAACCTAAAGAAACAAATAGAAGAACTACAAATGGAGCTGAGGAGTGTGAAGACACTGAAGAAACAACAGGCAAGGGATCAGTTTGCACTTCATTGCCATGTTGTGTTTAGCAAAACAGTAGTATCAAATTTCTCTCTCCAGTGATAATAAAAGTATACAATCTCTTCCAGAAATGGAATGGGTTTTCTGCCTTTATGTCTCACTTTAAATGTTTGTAAGTTTTTCCCTATGGGCAGGCTTTTTCTTTCCAATTAAAGATCAGAATCTACAAAATAAGTAAATGAATGAATGTTACAATAAAATGAATTCCATGGAGACTATAGAAGTTATTCAGGAAATTTTGATCACTGATTTTTTCTTGCTCGTATATAGCATGGCACATATAATTGAAAAATCAGATCACAAAAATTCAATGCACACACTTCCAGGAAGATGTTAGCACTAAAAATAAGAGGCTGTGAATAACTAAATTTGGCCTTTTTCTTAGGAAGGAAGTAGCCAAAGCCAGATCAGATCTCTTCATGATGAACTGGAAAAATGTCAGAATGAAATTTCTGAACTCAAGAAAGAGAATTTACTTTTGAAGGACACAATGGAGCTACTCAGTGCTGAATTGGAGTCACAGAAGCAAGAAGCTGCACAGCTTCAGGATAGAGATAAACAGCATAGAAGGTTTGCCTTGAATTCACACTTGACAGTGCTATCTAGAGATTCAATAATAATGCCAGCGTGAGTGGTGTTCTAAATGTGATGCATGTCAGAATCTTTCCTTTCTAAAGTACTAATTTTAGAAGCTAGGGATTTTGCAAAAAGAGTAGTTCATTTCACATTTTCCTCCAGCCATAATAGACACATTTGAACTAATTGTTCATTATATGTCACAGAAAACTACATCTAATGTATCCCCACAGGAGTGACCTGAGAAAATGTGAATAATGTCAGTCTTTCAGAGGCACTGGAAGACCTAAATCCTCAACTCATTAAAGAGCTATTAAAAAAAATAAAATAGAAGTCTCTGAGAATAAATACCAGTTTTTTATGCATACTGTCTGTTGCTGAAACCAATGGACTGTTAATTCCAAAGGGGACACTTGAGAATGCCATATATACCCTGTAAGAATTTGCTTTGGCTGCAGCAGTCAGCTTTGCACAGGGGAAGTAAAGGCAGTGCCAGTGGATACTGACTATGCCTCTGGGCTGATGGTGAGCCTGGCACTCTGAGGGACTGTCAGGGCACAGGAAGGCAGGGTGACTACAGTCTTGGCTATCTTGTAGAAGGTAAACCATGTCTTAGTGTAGCCACAGGCTCAGCACACGTGGTGCAAATGAGTCTTCCCATTTTTGTACAGAAAAAAGGCAGAATGCCAGGATCAATTAGGATGGAAAAGACCTCTCTGATCATTGAGTCCGACCTGTGACCAAACGCCACCATGTCAACTAGACCATGGCACTGGGTGCCATGTCCAGTCTTTCCTTAAACACATCTGGGCAGCCCATTCCAGTGTCTCATCACCTATTCTGTGAAGAAATTCTTCCTAATACCTGACCTAAACCTCCCCTGGTGTGACTTACAAAGGAGACAAGACTGGGTTCACTGCCCACTGCATTTGTATGGCTGTTGAATCCTTTGAAATTTCTGGATGAATATACTTAACACATTCTCTTCGCAGAGAGGCTGAGGGATTTGGCGTGTGGGTACCTCTCAGTTCATTTTTGTGATGGTGCAATGTATGTTCCTAACAATACAAGCTGTGTATATTAAAGTAATTCTGAAGAGTGTGCCCTTAAAGGAATCTTTAAAATTATGGCCCATGTAGTCCAGAGAAAGGCACTCAATGGATAGAATGTCTCTCTGCAGACTGTCAGAGTGGCCAGAGTAGTTCCATGTCTACCTGACAGTAGATATTTAAAGAATGAGTAACTTTTTTTGTTGTTGTTGTTTTTTTTTTCCGTTACTCTTTGGAGAGTACTTCAAAGAGAATTTCATTTCAAGCTTTTGAAGCAAGATCAACAGTGAGAATTGCAAACCAGAGAGTTTCATTAATGCCCTCAAGCTACCTTGAAGGAATTTAGAGAATCTCTTCATGAAGAGAAGAATTATTCACGTGTCAGCGATGAGGTCTAAAAAGCCTCAAATGCTGGGCTGGAGAATTTTCTTTACAGGGAATAAATGGTGTAGCTCTACTACAGTAAGCATTTGGGAAGGAAGCATTAATGGAAATTATGTAAGGAGAAATCCTGAAAATAACCAGAGGTAGAACCAAAGCGCTGGGGGGGACTGAGGCACCTGATACAGGCTGCTCTGAAATTAACCCATGGAAGACCTGGAACTCTAACTTGCAACACTCATTCTGCTTTTGCAGGACTAATAATTTGTAGGGGAATCATTAAATTGGTGCATATAAGTAACTGCTATTTTTACTTGTAACAACAGTGCCCCGTCTTATGCCAGTTTCTTTTCTGATTTGAAAGCTGATAGTGGCTTGTTATTTGCATGTGTTGAAAGCTGATAGTGGCTTGTTATTTGCATGTGACAGATTTTTATAACAGATTACTTAAAATTACTAATCCTACTCTTGCCAAGTAAGTGAAACCAGTAATCTGCTTGAAGTGATAACTCTTATTTCCTTTCTCTTGAATTGTGTGAATTTCACCTCTAGTACAAAGAGCTTTTACAAGGTTTAGGATGAGAGCAGACAAAGATGTTTTTATGGGAAGAGCAGACAAAGATGTTTTTATGGGAAGAGAGAACCACTCCCAAAATGGCTATTCTGAAGGAGAATATTTTCCTTCTGAAGATTCATTTCAAGGAGTCTTCTTCCTTTTTACCCTTATTTTTCTGCTGCTTTTTTTATGCTAAGTTCCAAATCAATCACTTCTATGGCTATGCTCTAATTTCAAGGGGAGAAACCCTTCATGGACTTTTTGGTCTTTCCTGAAGCCTGTCAGAAACAAGTGAAACTGGCTTGGGAATACATGAAAAAACCAAATAGGGGAAAACAAAAGGTAAACAATGTCTTTTGTGAAAATTACAATTGTTAATATGCTGAGATGAGCATGTCTATTTTGATCAGCAAATCCTAGAACATGGGCTATTCATTGAGTTAATAAAAAAGTTTCTCAAAGGTTTGACTAAGCAATAGTAAACAAAAATCAAACTATGATTCTTCAATAAATGTCTATAGCTTTTGGAATATTAGAATGCAACATTGTGGTTAGGCTTGAGAAAATGTAAGGCATTTTTTAGTTTTCAGTTTATGGTGCTAATATGTATTTTCTAATATATTTCTTAATACTATTTCTTAATTTATCTCTTCTAATATTTCTATCTTGCAAAAAATATGGTCTGAAAAGAGAAATGTTTTAGTTAAAAGCATTTTTACATTTCTTCATTTTTTCTTTTTTTTTTGAGTTTTAGGATGATGATAGGCAGTATTAAATATTTCTGATGCGATGATGTGATCAAACATATCATGAGAGCCTCATGTTAAAATCATAGATATTTTAACATAATTTTCCTTAATACAACTAAGTTCCTATGATACTTCACTGTCATGCTTTATCATTAAGAGTCATGTACAAGCTAACCCTAGACAGAATATCAATAGCACCATTTTAGGGAACAGACTTTCCATTTCCTGAAGGGTGAAGGTCAAGTACTTTTCAAAATAATTTTTCTCTTCCTCAGTGTTAAAATGTGTTTTCTCAGATTGCAACAAAATGTCAAAGTCAAATCAGCAGGCAGAAGCCAGATCTTTCCCCAGTTAACTACCTTTGCAGTCAATATAACACCTCAAAACTGCATGCTTTGATCAATGATAATAAACTAGTATTGAAAAATGAGAATTCAGACATATTTTGATACCAATGAAAGGCTACTGGTAGAAGACCTCAGTATCAAGCATAAAAAAGAACTGGACATACTGAAGCGAGATCAACGGAAGGAAATTGAAAACATAGTATCTGATTTCAGCAGCACTCAGGCACATCTCCAAGCAAAGATTTTCTCCTTAGAAGCTGTGTAAGTAATTTAACAATAAACTCTGGCTCATGCTGGCAATGAGTTCTGTTTGTATTTATTATCTTTAGTATGTACAGGTTTTTTTTATTAATCCTAAGTAAAATATTATAAGGATCAAAAAAGAAGTGTATAGATATTGTCTTTGCAAACCAAAAATACTCAAATACATTGTAATAAATTCTGGATATTGTTTAATCTAAAGCACTATACATGAAGTTTTACAATGCTAAATTAATACTTGCATGTAGGCTCTAGAAATTCTATGAAATGTAAAATCATCTTTGTCACAGATGATACCAGAGGCCTTGATCCATGATCTTGTACTTAATTTTGTTCGGCAGAGCAGCATTGTTAAGTAAAAGCTTCTTAACCTCATTCACATTTCCTTAAAAATTTCCAAGGAAAGTTGTGCTCATGTAAATAAACACAGTTTGCAGTCCCCTGTGGAGTTGAGAAGTTCTGTGCTGCTTCATATTGTACAGGAGAGACCACTCAGAAGTAATCCCTTGTGTATATCACTCCCTCTTTTCTCTTATCCCAACTGTGCAGCATAAGTTCAGAAGAGAGACTTGGCATGTAAGTAGGCCTCTACCATTTAAACCTTTCAGATGTAAAGGTTTATCTTTTTATTTTAACTCTGAGATAACTCTAGGATGGTAAGAGTGGGGGTGGTCCTTTCAAAAATGTTTACCCACACATTTAAAAAAAAAAAAAAAAAGCCACGAAATGGTGGTTTTCATTCTATAATACATTTCTCAGTATTTGGCCTGGTTATGGCAGGTGAACTTCATAGCATTCAGTTTCTCAAGCAGCAAAATTCATGAACCTGGCTGATAAAATAATGACTTGTGTTCTCATAGGTCAATCAAATGCACATTTCCACACCATATCTAAGAACATGTAATTAGCATTTGAATCTTTTCCCCTGATTAAGGAATTTTAAAAGCTGAACTTGGACTACAGGTTTTGACTTAGCAGGGTTACTAAAGCAGCATGTATATCCAAGCCTGTCTCCATGAAAGTTACAGGAATTGAGTGATTCTGAGGATTACAAAGTTACTGGGCCAGAAAAGAGAACAAATAGATGAATATAGATATGTATAGATACTGTGACCCTGATTTTTTTCTTTAGGAAATTAGACTAGCAACATGATGTGCAAGCTTGTTACTATTTTACACCAGAGGCTAGATTTTGCACTGGACAGGTGCTGTGGATTAACCCTGGCAATTTATTTTGGAACTCCAGAAGATTCTATACTTGTATATAAACCATGTACAGATGCTGATTTTTAAAAAATCCTGTTTTATTGGAAAGGCCTGGCTATGTCCCTGTATTTTAGGCTTGAAACATAGGACAGAGTATATCTGAGGTGTCTCTTGAACTGAATCTGAGGAAATATTTTTCTGGTCTGCATTTTCTTCTGTACAGACTTAAAGAATTAGAAGAAAAGTCAAGAAAGTGGGAGTCCAGACCTGAAGATACACACCTTATAAACTGTCTGCAAGACAAATTAAGTGAGAGAGAAGAGATTATCAAGCAGCTGGTGGTAAGACTGCTTTTTATATGGACATACGTATTTTGGAATCTACTGCAAGGCTCTAGTCAGTGTTTCACACATTGCTTCAGACAGATTATTTCTTTCTGCTCAGGAATTCTTTGACAAATGTATCTTTCCATACTGGCTTCCAACAAATACATGTTTCCATACACATAACTTTGTTTCCCTTCAGGAAGGAAGAAAATGTCAGCATTCACTTTCAGCCAACACTGAATCTTACAGGAATCGGTCATTTTCTTTCAACCCTAATACAGTATGCCTGACTCCCTCCATGAAGGTAAGATGAGCAACGCAATTAAAGTCACAAATTGTGATAGTTTTTATTACTATTTGAATCATACAGGCCAATCTGGACAATAAAAGCGCTATCAATTTTTTATGATAATGTTATTCGGTAGAATTTTTTCCAGCACCAACCTACAGTCAGTTGTTGAGCATAGGAGAAATTCAGTAGAAGTACACATGCAATATAGATAACAGGTGTTTAAGCCAATATAAAACACTAGAACTCTGACATCAGTCTTCCACTGGGATAAGCATGGCCATTGCTTGCAGATTTGGGAGTTGCTAATTGGGATATTGCATGCATAGAGGAAAATCATTAATCTGTTTGAGTTTCTTGGTATCTGCCCTTTGTCATTCCAGCCCCTCTGCATGATACTGTCTACAAATAGCCATAGAAAGAAGAGAGGTCAAGTTGGTGGAAAGCACCTTGGTCTAAGATATCAGGGTCAAATACAAAAGTTGTTTTAGTCAGATAACAAAATCTATGGAATACTCACAGCATACCCTGAGAATTTAATTTAAATGCCTATAGAAAAAGATAGAAATCATCCTATTTGGGTGCTCCTCAGAAGATATTTGGAAATGAGATATTGTTGAGGTTTTATATTATAAATTGTAAATAATGTGTATGTAATGAAGTTTTCTGTTACAATAAAAAGCAGAAGAAGAAAACGGTTGAGGTGCCCAGTCGTGTTGTCAGTGTTCCAAATTTAGCTTCCTACGCAAAGAGCTTTTTGAGCTGTGATTTAAGATCAAAAAGAAGTGCTCCACAAATAACAAAATCTACAAGCTTAGACCGGAGTCCTGGCTGCCTCAGGGTGGGCTCTCCATCAACACAGTCCTCAGACAGCAGTGCTGCCACAAGGTATTTGTACATTTTGTATGATGATAAATGAATTCATATTTAGACTCTTGTAGGCAATCCAAACATATTAGACATGTGGAAATACACAATGATGTAAGGTTCCTACTGTGCAATGAACTCTGTGTTTGGTTTTCTGCAGACAGATGCAGAACTTTACTGCAAAACTGGGCTGTAATCCCTGCCCAGCAGACCTTATGCTTGCAACCCTGCCTGGTAGGAAAAAAAACCAACCCTGAAACCAAACCAACTAACCAAAACCCACACACACACACACACACAAGCTGGTATTTAATTGTATTTAATTGTGAATATGGCATCTTTCAGTGGTTCTGATAAGGATGTGTCTTCTGTCTTATTTTTATTGCCTCACCTTGCACTTGGTAGATGTAGATGGAATATTTTTTATTTTAGGAGGTATTTGAATCTAGGCTGATCATTTAGCAAAGGCTAGAGACTTGAAAACTGATTAGCAGATACTTTGTTTCTCTTTGAGGAGTTTCAGTTCTTCAAATTTATGAGTTATGTGAATGATGTTCAGTGTTTTATAACATGGACTATCTCTTCAAGATAGTTAAAATTGTATGTAGCTAATATACAGTTAAAAAATCCCCAAACACAACCACTGTATTTCAGGACAAAATCCAGCCTTCTCATCTATCTTCTGACGGAGATTTAGTTACCCTGTAAATTATGTGCAAGAGAGTTACTTCCTTGGGGGCAGATGGTGCTGACTGCTGACAAAAACAACCTGGGACACAGGCTTAGATCCTGTTTGGCAATTCCCACTTCTTAAAGATACAAACATGCTGTGTCATGCCAGATGACTGCCAAGGCAAATGGAATTTCTGTTTTAAAAGGAAACAAATGTATAGAGAGACTAAGGTCGCTTGGGTGCTGCTTGCTTAATTCCTTTAAATCAGTCAATCATAAGTTAAGTCCTATTTGCTATCATATGTTAAAAAAATCCTAAATTATGGAAAATCAGGGACTATGTAATAGGATTGATTGTGAATGGCAGGTCTTGTTCAGATAAATCTTGCAGTTTCAAATAGAACTTTTATCAAACATTTTTAATGCATAAATTGTATTTTATATTTTTAAGAGTGAATTGCAGCTGCCATTCTCTGATTTTCAAGCATCCTTTTGTTTAATTTTTTTACGGTGTCAAGTTAAGAACTATGTCAAGTGTTTCTCCATAGCTGTTAAGCTCTGCTTCATGCTTTTCTTCATGTGGCAACCAGTGCTGCTAATCCAGTTACCTGGCTGGCACAGATCCCACTAAAACTAGTTGGCACCTTTTGGCCTCTTCTATTCATGTGAGCACAGAACCATTCATGGGATGTTTTTCTAGGAAAAGTATTACATACTGATAAGATTGTAAGTAGGTCAGTGATGCTAATGCTTATTTGTTTGCACAGGACACATGGCAATGAACCACCACAAACCAAAGATGACCAAAAACAAGACCCTCAGCATCAAGAATGGTTTACTAAGTATTTTTCATTTTAAGAAAAACTATTTCTATGCTTCTCAGAATTACTATAGAAGTCATTCCTGTTTTCCTTTTAGGAATGATAATCCAATAGATGATTTAAGGCAAGAAAAAAAATATGTAATTTCTAAGTAAAGTCAGAAAATACTTGCACTCTCTTATATCTAGTAACTATGGAGTTACATGCATGAATTTCAGGAAAATGCATTTTTTTTTAACAGCTTCTGTAAAAGCTGTAAAAGAAAAAGTTTGGATACAGTTATGCAAAAAGACTTTATAATCATGAGAATGTACCACTCCACAATTTCATTAAATATGGAATTTGGATTTTGATACCTTCTGTCAATTTGACACCAGCTGAAAAAAGATCTTCCTTCTGTACATTTATACACTTGCTTCATCAGCTGTTTAAAGTAAATTCTTCATATAATAATGTAATTTAAAAAGTTTTTAATGCTTTTTGTTAAATTAACTTTAAACTGTGCAGCATGTGGTACACCTTCAAAAATAGCATGTTTATAGCAGGCTGGTTTAGAAATAATTTCTGGTTTGCTTCATAAACTGTTTTGTATAGTCAGCATTAATATGTAATATTCCCATTGAATTTCAATATATGTATCAGCCTGATAAACTAGGATGATGTGTAAGTATGAACATTAAAGCTTGTGAATTATCCAATTTCTATGTTTTTTGAAAGAGTTCTATGTTACACTGAAGTAAGTCAGACTTGTACACTGAGCTCCACAGTGATGGCAACTACATCCTTGTACCTTTTAACTCCATAATAGTTTTATGCCCACATAAAAGCAAAGTGGGGGGATGACTACATTTATCAGATGATGCTAATTCATTGCTGGCAGGAAAGAATCCATGAAGTTGTCTCTTGGGCAATTAACCCAGTGTGAAAGGCAGGGAAGAGTGCAACCAGCAGCCTGCTGTTTAAGACAGGATAGTTCCTCTTCAATTGCTTTGAATCCCCATTCGGTTTCAACCATCAGGGCCCAGCTACCTAAAAAAATTTTACATCTGCAACGAGGTGTACCTCCAGCCTAACCTCTTCCAGCAAGAGCTACACCAACAGATGCAAACACTCCATAAAAAACAGTCACTGCGTCTCACTGGTGGTGCAAAGGTGGAAGGAAGGGCAGAACACTTCTCCATGCCAATACTTTTTATCCCAGTTATCTAGTATTTTTTCCAAGAGGAACTGTTTGGTTGGAAAAGTGACTGGTAGTAGATTTGGTAAGAAGGCTTTTTTCATACTTGTAATCACAAAAGAGATTAACTAGTGCACAGTAACACTGATGGGTGCCTTGGTATCTCTGAGGATGGAAATGTACAACACTGTTTTCATTACTTTTCATCCATGCTGCCCCAGGAACACTAGAAATTTCAATACACAATTAGCAATTCGTATTTCCAGGGTTACAATTAATTATTCAACTTGGCCCCCCAAAAGTTATTGTAGAAAAGTGGTTATATGGATGAATTAAATTTGTTGCTTAGTAATACACAGACAGGACTCTTGCTATTTCTACCTCCAGAATCTTTTTTGGCTGCATTTAACTTAATAAATGGGGTGATGTAATAAATAGAGCACTGTAATAAAAGGTAATTCTGTATACTGGACAGTGGTGGTGATCCTACCTCCACAATGAGTGGTCTATATTTTGGGGATGGGTATTTCGGAATACCTCTTCAGTAGCCTGAGAGTCAGAACATCAGTAACATGAGGCCTGCATTACATACCCCACCCTTTTTTGTCCATTTTTCCATTACAATTCATCCTATAAGAATCAAATTTGTATATCCCAAGACACCTTCCATGAGGTGAGCCAGTCTGGTGGAGATTGACAATTCACTTCAGAAAAAAGTGATCTGACCTACACAGAGACAATTCTAAGGGTGCTTCTGCAGTGGTACTCGGGGATAATTACTGGATCACAAAACATTTAAATATTCCAGGAAAAGCACTAATTCAAGCACTAATCTTTGCATATATTTTGATCATACCAAAAAGACAAGAGGGGAAAGAAAGGGCCACCCTCTCTAGAAGGAACAGAGATGCATTCTGGGAGACACACTTCTACCAGAAAGCACCCTGAACAGCAACTCAGAATATTTTCCATTAAAACATAAAACCAATCCATATTACTGTAATAAAAGAAAAGAAGATAATTTATTTAGCTTAACTGTTCTAACTATATTTGCAGTACAAATTACATTATACAAAAAGCATACAAAGAACACTATTGCTTTTAAAATATTGAGCTGTGTAAAATTATGTTTGCTTCATTGGAGCAGGAATATTTGCAGATGCTTGTTCTAGGTAAGCTAATGGACCTTGAGGCATTTCTGCAGGCTTTTTGTGCTGTACACTGATGTCTTCCAGGACCTGTTGCCAGTGTCGCAGTTTACTCAAATGCTTCTGAATTAATGCTTCTTTTCTCTGCAATTCATTTCTTAATTCTGAAACATCCTGTTGATGAAAGAATTGTGTACTAGTAAATAAACAGTATTCAAAAGAATAACCACCTCACATAAAGAGCACGTAACTTTTTTAGACTTTGAGCTTTCAAGCTGATCTTACAGTAGAAAAATGGAGTAAAGGAAAAATGGCCAATGATACAGAAGCACTGTGAATGCACTAATGCCGCTCACCTATGTCACATATTTCAGAGACCACCTTCCCAGCAAAATCTGCCTAACTAGTTTGTCTCTTCCAGTGAATTATCAGCTGTGTTCCAATACTCCACACAGCAGCAGGTATCCAGCTTCTCCAGGTTCATGCTGAGATCTATGGTAACAAGATCTACCGACTTGGTAGATCTTGTTACCATACCATACATGACCATTACTATGGTCAAGTTCTACCGACTTACAGTACAGCATCATGTTGAGAAACACAAAATTATGAACATGGTAATTAAGATACATAGCTTATCTGATCTAACACTGGACAGGTAAATTAACATACCTCTTTAATTACTTGTTCTGGTTTCTGGACTGATAGCTGCAGTCTTTTTTGTAGAAAAAAGCATTCAGTTTGTCTTGCAACATCCAGAAACTTTTGGATGCACTGATCAACACCTAAACATATAATAACAATACTGAAAGAAGAAGCTTTCAAAAAAGTACGATTTCAGGCTGGTAATGGTAATTGTCTATCAAAAACAGTTTTCACAGTACTTTCTATAATGAAAATCTTCAGAATATCTAAAGGAACATATTTATAAACCAGGAAGTCCCTGTATAAGACACTGCTTTGCAAACTTTCAAGTTATTTTAGAAGTGCAGGACAACATTTCCTCCCAGGTTTTATTTCTGACAAGGAGTAATAAAATAATTCATGGAACTTGGCTGCATGCCTAAGCAACAAGCTCAGTGTCGGGTTCTAAAATAGGCACTTATTGAGAAGAATATTCTACCCTCATATACTACACACTACTGTTTTGGTAATAAAAGCTGATTCATGACAGCACATGAATATGACCAAATATCCAGAAAGGAGTTTTGAAAAGCATTTATGCCGATTTTGAAACGCCATTTGAGAGAAGTTTCAGGAAATTTTCAGGGACACCTGCATTTCTAAGGAGTAGTCAAGGGCCACTTTTCAAACTCCCGTTCATTTCAATATTTATTCCACCTGCACGGAGGTGCGTCACCCAAGCCCTAAAGCATCGCTCCTGAACTGCCTGGCCTGGCCTTTCCCATTTCCTGCGACTGCTTCATACAGCTTCCGATGGCATCAGCTCTCCGCTGCTTGAAACGCCTCACGCTGCACGCCAATATAACCCCAGCCAACGCCAGGAGCCAACCGGCACACCCCGACCTTCCCACCAGACCCCGGGCATTCCCGGGTGGGTTTCCTTCCTGCCACTGCTCTCAGCAGCGTTCCACCGGGAAGGAGCGCCGCCCTGCCCCTGCCCCGGGCTCACCGGTGCGGATCTCCTCCTGGTCCGTGCCGTTCACGTAGTCCTGGCTCACCAGCGAGGCGAAGCAGGCCTGCGGGAGAGGGAAGCACCGCGCTGAGCGGCTGCGGGGGGCCGGCGCAGGCAGGGCAGCGCCCGCCCGCAGCTGCCCCCCCTCACCTCGAAGGACGCTTCCAGCTCGTCCACCAGCGTGTTGTTGGGGTTGCGCGGCCCCGCGGGCGGCGGGATGAGGCC